GCAGTGGTTAGAGTGCTGTACTGCAAGCCACTTCTGCTTACTATCAGCTGCCTGCAATTTTGCAGTTCAAATCCCACCTGGCTCAAGGTTGACTCAGCCTTCCTTCCTTTTGAGGTGGGTAAAATGAGGACCCAGAATGTTGGGGACAATATGCTGACTCTGTAAAACTGCTTAGAGAGGGCTGGAACGCACTATAAAACAGTATATAAGTCTAAAGTGCTATTCTATTGCTATTATAAAGGCCTCTCTGTCTTCCAAAACACATGGTATCACTCCATTGTTCTTCCCGACTGACCTAACAAGTCATCTAAACAAAAATGAAGGCAGAAAGGGTACTAAAATGGTTCACAGGGAACCTTTTCCCCACTCTGTTTCCGCAGCTGAAATATACTTGGGAAGAAGCGGGGACAAAGCACCAACCTGCTAACCTCTCCCAGGTTCAAGCTTCAGCAGCCTCTGGTGCATATCGATGTTTTACAACATTGATCCTCAAACTACGGCCCGTAGGACGGATACGGCCCGCCAATGCAAAGTATCTGGCCTGCTGAGTGGTGGAATTCAGCCCTGCCCCTTGCCCCGCCCCTCGCTGTTGGCCTTATCTTCCAACATCTACTCCAGCTGCATTTCTGGTTAGTTATTTTACTGGTTGAGCTGCACTTCTGATCACACCACTGCTACCGAAGGTAAGGCCGAAGGGTGTGGGGGAGGGCCAGTTGACTGAGGGGTGGTGACTCAGGTGCAGCCATATGATCCAGGGCCGGTGAATGAGAGGGGGAGGAGCTGCTGCTGGTTTGAAAAGTAGCTCTGCTTTTCAAAAGTCTTTAAAAACATTTTTAAAACAGTCTTTAAAAACATTTTTAAAACAGTCTTTAAAACAGGATGTTTTTCACAGCCATGTGATTCAGAGCCAGAGGGTGAGAAGGGGAGGGGCTGCTGCTGGTTTGTAAAGAAGCTCTGATGTACTTTAAAAGTCTTTAAAAACGTTTTAAAAATGGCCTTTCAGGATGTTTTTCAGCTCCCAAAATTTTCAAAATTAGCTGAAGTTGACTAACACTAATTCAAATGCAACCGCAGTATAATGCCTGAAGAATTCACCGGATGACAAAAAGTCATATAGATTTTAAACCAGAAATATTTTTATTGGGTATTGTACCAGAGATATACAGTAGAGAACTGATATATTTGATTGTGAATGTACTAACAGCAGCTAGAATTATATTTGCAAAGAATTGGAAAAAAGAGAAAATACCAACACAGGAGGAAGTTATTAAGAATAGAGTGGAATGTGCTGAAATGAGTAAATTGACATTTGAAATTAGAGAACAAGAAGAAAAACAATATTATAAGATATGGGATTTATTTTATCAATAGTTAGAAAAAAATGTGGAAATGATATATTTTATAGATAACTTTACAATATAAAAATAATAGAATTTAAGGGAAAATGATATAAGAATGTATTTTTTATTAGATGAAGTGGCAATGGAAGTTACATTACATAGTGGTTTAAAATGTTGAATATTTTATATGAAGTGGTGGAACAAATAGTTATTGTTAAATGAAAGAACCATAATGATAATAATACTTATATATATATATATATATATATATATACATAAAATGGAAAATATGAGAATTTATGTGATTTGTGAAGGAGGACTATGGACACGTAGCACAAAAGAATTGCAACCAGTCGACACACTGTATGTAATTGAAAGATGGGTTTATGTTTTTACATATTGTTTTGTCTGTGTTTGTTTAGAAAAATAAAAAACTTTTTTAAAAAAGAATTCACCCACTGCTTTGATTCTTGTCATATATAAAGTGCATCCACCAAATTGGTTGCTGAACAATTTTGGTAGATATTCATGTGTGTGTATATACACATGCACAAGTGTGGAAAAAGCAAATTAGTTTGTGAGTTCTCCTTCAGTCTTAAAAGCCCTGTAATCCCAAATAATTCAAAAAAGTAGTCTGGTTTCCTAGTAAATAGATTGAGCAAGTACAGCAAGGACAAAGGCAAAATGGACTGCTAAATTGGCCATGACCACCCAGTCACATGACCACCTAGCCACACCCAGCCAGCCAGTCCGGCCCCCCAACAGTCTGAGGGATTGTGAATTGGCCCCTGTTTAAAAAGTTTGAGGATCCTATTGTTCAGAAAGAACCTAAAAGAGGGAGGAGGTGGATCTCTAGCTAAGGAAGAACATGTCCCTCCGGGCAAGAAAGTGTGCACCTCACTCGGCAGTGATAGATCTAGGTCTCCAATTGCAGCAGCCCACCCTTGGAGATTACAATTGCTTTACCGAATACACTGGATACCCTTCCTTTTGCCTCAGATGCCAGGAAGATGTAATTTTTCAGGCATGAGGAGGAGGAGTGGGGAGGGAGGAAATGAGAAGAAGGTCCCGTCTCTGAATTGGAAACCATTATCATCATCCTGTGACACTTTTGTATATGTGCAGGAGAGTATGCCAAAAGCAACTTGCCATTAATGCCCCCATCAAAGAAGCAATGGAAAAAGCACCTTCCCCACCAGGTCCCTCAGCTCATGACAAGATTTCCTATTAGGTGTTGTGATTATTGTGTTCCCAGCTAGGAGCTGAAGTGGGGGGAGGGGGCATGGGTAAAGATGTGGATGAACTGGAGAAACTTAAAGGAAATGATCTGTTGGTTAAAATATTTGTGGCACCAATAAGAAGGCACACAGAATGATTATTTGAATCACATGTTTTCATAAGTTTGTTTATTAGTGTCATGTTAGAAGAAAAATCAGGTCCAGTTCCAAGCCAGGAGAAAGACACTGGAAATAAAATCGAGGTTGGCTGCAAGGAGAGAAGTTCTCTGTTTATTTGGATGCCAGAAACTTTAGTCACACAGAAGCATGTTTCTAGGGTGGCTGACAGAATGGGTTGGAATTGGTGAGCTTTTGTACATTCTTTGTGGCTTTGTGATTGAGATGGCTGTTCCTGTGTAACAATGTATCCTTTAATATTTTAATAGCTGTTGCCAGACTCCTATGTGGTCATGTAAGGGGCATGTCTGGCTCTTCAGGCAAAAGGGGAAATGCAAATCTTAGGTGTTTGAGCTAATCTTGCCAGCTTGCCTAATTGTGTTGCTTATTTGGAGTCTCTTTGCTTATGAATAGATTGGCCCAGTCTTTCTGAATGGATACAAACTCTCCATTCCAAAAGACCAGTCTTCCCTGCTTGAAGCTGTTTTCCTATGGCAGGAAAAGGGGGGGGGGAGGGGGGGCTGTTTTCTGTAGCAGTTTGTCCCACTCCTCAGATACATGACAGATGTTTGTCTTGGTATTTTGCAAAATGAGGATAATCTTATCCTTCTGAAATCATTCAGATATGCCTGATAGTAGCAGCAATTTTAAAAATAATAATTTTGTATTAAATATTTTTATTAATTGTAATTATTGGATTTAGGACCAATTTAATAGTTTATTGTATTTCTTGCAAGCTTCCCAGAATTATGAGAATGAACAACAAACAATGGATGTATTAGAGACAGATAAAATTTAAGAACATGACCCTTTTAGTATTTAATTTTTACTAACTCTTCAACATCCAGAACAAATGGGACAGGGTCAAAAACAGCTGTCACATCACTTCTAAGTGCCAAAAGCACTTCATTCTTTAGCCATGGAGGTCCCTGAAGGACTGGAGCAGTCAGAGCCCAGAATTTCAATGGAAAGTACAAACTGCTGCTAACTAAATATGCATTTTGGAAAATAGCCTGGAATACCAATTTCTCAAGTAGTCACACTGATAAACAGGACAAACAGACATGACTCAGCACATTCCAGCCTTTCAAGATCCAGTGATTCACACTTGTTACATTATTATCACCAGTGATATAACCTTGGATGAAATGCCATGAATCACAGAGACATTTAGTCCCGTTTTTGGTAGAATACTTATGTCACTTCTCCCCCATTCACCTTCACAATGGTAAGTTGACTAATATCTATACTATTTTATGTAGATGCTGCTGCACAGCTGCAGATATTAACAAGGCTGAGAAGAGTTGCCAGATCATTGACCCATTTTTGTAAGGAACACTAATTAAAAAAAATGTTAATTATGAAGGGGAAAGCTAATGTGGTTTCTGAGATGTTTTTAAAGTGACAGCTTTTAAAGGCACATTAAATAGAGTAGATTCTCTATCTGCACCTTGTACCACAGGATTCCTGGAGACGATAATAAGCTATTGTACTTCTCAAAGGATTCTCAACACAGAATTACAAATAGAATATACCCTTACTCTTACCCAGAACACAATAAGGATATCCTTAAAAAAAATTAAACTAGCATTGTATCTTGACCAAACTACAAAGATAGAATTTTGTAGAACTTTCACATAATTGCAACTAAGTATCTTGCTGGAGGGTAAATTCCAAAAAACCTTGATGCTGCATGGGATTGTGAAGGCATGCTCATGTTTTGCTTTATTTTAATTTTCACCAAGAAATTTTTGATGAGGTACTAATACCTCTTTTTAGCCTATTGCCTGTATAGACAGAATAATCTAATGTTCATCTTCTTTTGGTGGATTAAAAGATCCTAAAACAACTCTCGCCATTGCTAAATTTGTAACTGTAGGATTTATGTGTTGCCAAATGCAAATTAGATTAGGCAAAATTACAGGCCTTTTTATTTTGCATCATACATTGTGTTCTATATTGTCTGGTTTGGGCCCACAATAAAGATGCCTAACTTGACATTCATGTGATAGTTGCCATTGTTCATCTGTCATTGCTTAATTTTCTTTGTCCATATCCTGGCTGTATGTCCAGAATCCTTTGTCCAAAGAATAGAACGTTAACTTATAGAACACATTCCTTTTTCTATTTCTAAATATGACATTTTTAGAAGAGTGGCATTATAAAAGTTTACACTCTCTTGTTTCAATGTGTTTGCACCCACATATTTTTTCCAGATTTTTAAAACTCTAACCCTGTTCACTAGAAGCATACCAGTAACAGCACATCAGAAGAAAAGATTTTATTTTTCTCAAAGAAAAAAGCAATATAAATATTAGAGTATAAAACTTGCGTGTTAACACATCAATATCAGTTACATGGATATAAGAAGGGTATAAGCATATATATAATATATAAGTATAGCTCAATATTAGACACATTGGAGGGACAAGTAAGTGTGTTTCAGTTCACATACAATTAAAAGCACAATGAACACACATGAAGATGATCCAAAAGAATATAAAATACTGATGTTCACTATTCAATTATTAAGATTAAACAAATAAAAAACACACATCACTAGGCACTACTACACTATTTTCAGGTGTAGATGAAAAAATAAACAAGATTAACCAAGATTCATCTACAGTACTTTGGGAAAGATCACATGTTAACTATTCGATTACATAAGAAGCTTTAGGCACAATCCAGCTGAGGTGTATCTGCACAAACTGCATTGAGATAAATGGGAGCTGTGTGACAGGAGGACTATTGCGCTCTCATTCATTTAAATGTGGCTCATGTTACAGAACATCCCACTAGTTTGTTGTCTATTTCACTAACTATGTAAACTGTTTCTAGTGCAGTCACCAAAGAAAAAGTTGATGGAGAAGCGTTTGGGATCACTACAAAACCCATATGTAGACAAAAACTTCTTGTAGATAAGTCCTACTTTCTAGAGACAGGGAAAGCATCAAATAGTTCATAAAATGCTCTTAGCAGTGACAACAACACAGCCAATCAGTTTGGGAGGCAACTTTGGAAACTTGTCATATGTTTAGACTGACCTGTTTTGACTATTTCAAGCAAGCTATTTATTACAATGTAAAAAAAAAGTTCTTGAACTAGTGGTTCACGCTCCATGTTGAAAATATGCTCCTCTGATTCTTTATGGCTCTTTTGTTGCAATAAAGAAAACCATGATAAAGTACAGGAAACTATGATATATCTAGAAAGACAACCAATGTTGCCAAGTAACAGTACAATTTCCTACCTGACTCAGAGTGCCATTACATTATCAAATGGGCCAGAGTTAAGAAACCTCACTGGTCCATACTAGGCTATGGAATGATGCTGTTAAAAAGATCTAAATCTAGCAATTTCAAAACATAGTAACACAAAGTGTATTTTTAATATTTTAAGGTCTATTCATATTCAAGAAGAGGTAGTGGTAGGGATCTCAAATTGCCTGATTGCATCAATACAATGTCATTTGTTTAGTATTTATAAAAGTTCAGGAATAAAGTGATTGGCTTTGCAATTTGCCTAGTTCTAATTCCAGTGTACCTTCATTAGACCTGGTCCCTTAGCTTTCCCATATCAGCCACTTTCTATTTAATATCAAATTGTGAAGACCAACAAGCCAACATTATTTTTTATTTATACTGCACAGAGAAATGAAATACACAAGCTTCCCAATCTCTCTGAGGAAGGGCAATGCATCTTGTTTGTGAACTTTTCTCACAGACAGTGCTGATGTGAGCACTTGAGAGCATATTAACATGCTGTTCATGTCATGCAATAAATTTCCCAATTCAAGCTTGGGTGTGAAGTCAGCTGTCCTGTAAATGTGAAGTGATTTGCATGCAGTTTCATGTGCAGAAAAAAGTGAAGCATTCTATTTTTAAAGTTCTACCTATAAGATCAGCAGAGCTCATCCAGTTAACAAAGACATCTCCCTCAGGAGTCAAGCAAAGATATGAGCAGTAGCTCACTATGCTCACAAGTGAATGACTTTTTTCTTCAACTTTTTCTAGAAAACATTTAGTATACATACTGATGTAGATGAGATGTGTTGCCTTTTTAGAGATCACTGTAAATAAATCATGAATGGCAGTGTTCTCTGTCTTTATATCTACGACATGTTTTGTGCATGAAAGTTTTTCCATTGCAATGCACTCCTTGCTTCTCAGAAACTATGACATCAGTTTAATTTTTTTCTGGCCATCCTTGGTTAAATTTATAAAAAAGATAAATGTAGCTGAATCGCATTCTCTTATAATAATACAGGATACACATTTCTTTTAAAACAAAGCAGGAATTAAAGCACTCCCTATCAATATCATAACAAGGATTCCAGCTGAAATGATGTCTAACCCTCCCCCCAAGAACTTCTATCAAAATTTGGAAAAGTGAGAATTTTTGTAAAAATGGAGGAACTTATATAAATAAAAAACTCTGTTCAGAATAATTATTTACAATGAGCAGAGCCCATCCTAAATTTTGTTGGTGATGCAGATCTTCAGGAAATAAAATGTTTCAAAGATCTGACACCCTTGCATATTACATTGTCCTCGAAAGATATACACTGTATTTGTTATTATTCAGATATTTTTCTTCATGAATAACAGCAGTACATCTACTCATAAACTTAGATGACAACAATGTACATTCACAATGTTCCATATTTTAAAAAAAGTTTAACCACAAATTCACATTCATCTTCCATCCTAGGCTATGAACTGGGGGAGTGCTGGAAGAGTCTGCCCTTTAGATTTACGTGGAAGTGGCTGTGCTATCCTGTGGATCCTACTTCTTCTCTTTCTTTCCTGACTTCTTCTTATTTCCCCCTCCAGAGGCTGCCGGTTTTCCATCACGTTTGCCAGCGGCGTTGGAGAGAGTAGCAGTGCTTCCAGGGATATACACATTCTGTCTATAATCAGGAACATGCTGAAGGGTGAATTGGGGGCCATACCTGGTGCTGAGCCCCATGGTACCTGCTGTTGCTCCTCCTCCCAGAGTAGAATTTCCATCTGGGTTAGCTGCAGCGGCGGCAGCAGCTTCTGCAAGAGTATTAGAACAGGAAGAGGGTTAAATAGGTTTTAAAGTAATAATTGAATAATGTTATGTATGTGCAGATTTGGCTGAAAAGAAAATTTTTTCTTCCCTGCAATTCAAAAGGCATACCTTTTAGAAAGGGTTAGATTATACAAGCATATCTAATTCTAAGTACATTTCTAACATCTGCTTGAAACATGGAGAACAATTGCCTGAATTCCCTAAAAAGAAAATCCTGTATTATTAGTTCCTCAGGTGAGAGAAGTAATATATATTGCTTCTCCAATAATTATGTATTCCAGTTTCTGGAGCTTCCAAAAACGTATAAAGGATTTACATAATTGCACATATAGATTTACTGTCTAAAAAGATTAAAACGAAATCAACAAAATTAAAACAACATCCAGAATTATTATTATACCATGTTTTAAAGCCTTGCAATAATTTTGAACACCTTGAAAGATCTCTTCCTTCTCCCTTTATTCAAAACAAAAAGTTAATTCAAGCACTGAATTAAATGCAAATTTTTCTTTCAGTATTGTATAATAATTATTTTGGCTATCAATTTTCACAAAATGCTCAATGTCTTTATACGTTTGAAATACTGTGGAATTCAGCTTGGCCCAATTTATAAATCCTTAACCCACAACAATGGGTCTGAAGTTCTATTAATGTTAGACTTTCAACCCCAAGTGCAGTAATAGGACAGACCATATGAAATAATGTTTTGGCTGCTGAAGTACCTCTATAATATGTACCTAAATCCTCTCTAAAAAATCTGTTATACTTATGGTTGGTTGCACAGTCAGACTGAAAACATCAGACTGGATTTGGCTATCAAATTCTTCTCAAGGAGCATAGGCTGATATTGTTTGATGGTGTTAAAGATATCATTGCAGATGTAAACTGTTCCAAGTAAAGCTGCTTTTTGATTGAATAGCGATTTTGTCATTGCTGATGGTATTGAAGTGGTGTTCCAGAAATTTTGTAATTGCATCTAGACTTTTACTCAAACATTTTTCATCATCATCATCATCATCATCATCATCATCATCATCATCACTATTCTTCATCGCACAGTCAACAGATGTTCAGACTGAGTTTGGCATTTTGTCTACCTATCAACTTATAGTTGTTGTTGTTCTTGTTCTTGTTGTTGTTATTATTATTATTATTATTCTGCCTGATTCACTTCATTTTAAGAGCAAAATAAATTAATTTCGCATTCTTTAAAAATCTCTTCCACTGAAATATGAAAACAGAGTATTTGAATACTGTATTTTTTATTATTCATGTTACAAATTCATTCAATATTTTGTTTCAGTTTACGGAATAGTTAATATACATACAGATAACCAAATCGTGAAACAAAGTTTGAAAATTTTTAAAAAGCATGAAAATTTTTCTATCCAGAATTGTTAAGTACTCCAAGAATGTAAAATAAGGAAATAGTATACAATACAGGAATTAGCAAGTTCTGGTACCATATACAGGTAGTCCTTGATTTACAACATTTCATTTAGTGTTACAATGGCATTGAAAAAAGTGACTTATGAATGTTTTTCACACTTACAACTACTGCAGAATCCCCATGGTCATGTGAGCAAAATTTAGATGCTTGGCCAACTGACTCATATTTAGGATAGTTGTTGTGTCCAAGGGTCATGAGATAACTGTTTATGACTTCTGACAAGCAAAGTCAATGGGGTTTCACTTAATAGTCACTTAACAACCATGTTACAAATTTAACAACTGTGGCAAGAAAGGTTGTAAAATGGGGCAAAGTTCACTTACCAAATGTTAACAATAGAAAATTTGGGCTCCATATTGGCCATAAGTCAAGGACTACCTGTACCAATTTATAACTTTCTAAGCCTTAAATTTCAATATGCATAATATTATTTATTTTACAGTGCAATTAAAACACAAAAGGACTTCTCAGACTTACAGTTGGTTCCAAATGATCCAATTTCATTCTATGGATATATTTAATATAATATTTTATATAATATGCAGTACTATTGACTAGTTTAACAAGAGACATTTTAGCTTTCTTGCCAAGAAGCACAAATCTTTTACAGTATATTTTATACTAATTTTAAAGGGTTGTGAGGAAGTATTGGGAATGCAATACTAAAATAGGCTAGATTATTTGTAGAAACTGACCATTTGCTGATGCTAAAATCATAGCCTGAAGCATTTCAGTATCAAACTGATTGTTTGGCCAAGTTCCGTTTTCATCTCCATTCTGAGATCTAAGAAGAAACAAAGCAAATGAAATATATAAAAAGTACAATAGAAGCAAAAAGAAAAATGTACATTTTTATTGATTGATTTTATTCATATGCTGCCTTGATTTCTTCACATAATTTGTATCAAAGCTTATTCTTAGTACTCATACAAAGACCCCACCCCAATAAGTAGATTAACTTCTCTGATATTAATATTACTTAGATAAACTAATTCACCAATACACATTAGTTCTTGAAAAAGTACGCATCTTATACATTATGAACTTTGTGAAATGGGTAGTTCTATTATGTCAGATTCAAAGTTACTATTTGATTTCCTTTTATGTAGTTTCATCATACTTTGTGGCTGTATCATGGCAGCCATGACAATTTGTTTTTTTTTTAAATCACTGATACATGATTGCATAAAGAAATGCAATAGGGTGAGTGGGAGAACAGATTCAGAAAGTGACAGGTCCATCCATAAGTCAAACCTTTGCAATGTCCCTTCTGACTGAAGAGATGATGGTCTATATTACCCTTTTATATCTGCAATTGTCAAGCTAGTTATTCCCCATCTTGTACTTGTACATTTCATTTCTTTTTTCTAACTGAAGAAAATTTAAATTTCATTCTATTACTTTCAGGTCACTTTTCTAACCTATCAATTGCTTTAAAATTTGTTCAGTAATCTGGAGCAGTAGCTATCCCACCAAGATGCATCACCTGCACATTTGTAAGAATTCCCTCATCTCTTTACAGAAGGGTTTAATAAACATAAGGATATTAATATCTGTAGAATGAGTATACATTAAGAGGCAACTCCACTAGGAAGGGACATAAGAAATGCAATGAACCAGCTGTCAAATAGTAAGCAGCCAGATTCAAATAAAATACACACTGAATTATTTAAAGGTAAAAGGGAAAGGGCAGCTAAAGTGCTAACAGCTCTGTGTCATCAAATATGAAACAAAACCATATGACCTAGACCAGTACATATACCAATGTGACAATTATCAAAGCATTACATACTGAACTATTACAGTTTTTACTATAAACTATGTTCAATGGTTGGTACTGCAGTATAACAAATAAAATAAAATAAATCATTTGCTTAAGATCTTTCAAAGAAGAATGGAGAAACACATGAAATTAAAAAATGCCACATAAACAAGCAAGTTTCAGAAATGTCTGAAGAGACAAGATAACAAAAGTAATGAAGAGAAATCAAGAAGAGGCACAAATACGGCATTTCCCCCCGACAAGAATTGCAAGAATGTTTAAGAACAAATCTGAAAAATGTTGGAAATGTCATCAGATACCTGGCTCATACTACCATATGTGGTGGACTTGTGAGGACGCTAGAAAATATTGGACTAAAATCCGCATATGGTTGGAAAAAATGACAAAGACACATATAGACTTGAAACCAGAGATTTTTTTTATTGGGAATCTTACCTGATATATATAATAAAAATTTGAAGTATTTGATTGTAAATATATTAACAGCGGCTAGGATTGTATTTGCTAAGAACTGGAAGAGTGAGAAAACTCCATCAGAAGAAGAAATTATTAAGAAAATATTGGATTGTGCTGAAATGAGTAAATTGACATTTGAAATCAGAGAACAAGAAGATAAACAATTTTATGAAGTTTGGGATCTTTTTTATCAATGGTTAGATAATAAAACATAATGATAGAATATTCGATTTAGCATAAAAAAAATTTTTTTTTCTTGATATTATCTTTATAAAACATTATCAAGGTAGATTTGGTATGATCTTATGATTTATTGCAAAATAAATTAAGCAAATTATAGTTATCTCGTTAAAATATGAATTAACAAAATTATAAATGATTTTTTTTAGTGATGATATTAGGTTATACAATTATTGATTGATAATATGAGCTATTATGTAATATAATTATACTAGTGACTAGGAAATGGATGCACAAAAAAAAGTGGTAAACCAATCGATGCACTGTATGTAAATTTATGAAGAGGGATATTTTTATGTTTTTTGTGTTATGTTTATGTTTATTTTGTTATGCTTGTTATTAAAAAATAAAAAAAATATTTTTTTTAAAAAAAGAAGAGGCACAAATATGTGATCTTTTCTTAAATCTGGATGATTTCCTTAGGATATCTTGTGAGGTGAGTGAGACCAGCTGGTGTCTTTAAGTGGTGAAAATGGATATAACGATCTGGGTGTGCTCTTTCTGGAGAGCTTAAATGACCTCTCTGATAAAAGGTTTCACTTTTTGAGCAAGAGTTGACTGTTGATAGTTATCATTGCATTTTAACTATTTTAATTCCTCAAGGTCCTCTCTGACACCCTGCCTGATTTGTAACTCCTGCTTGCAGGTATTTTTAATCTAATGATTGGTATTTAACCAATCTAAATTGGTACCTAATGATTGGTATCTTTTTGCAAGCAAATAAGCTTTTTGTATTTTTGTATAGGTAATCCTTGAATTACAACAGTTCATTTAGTGACCATTTAAAGTTACAATGGCACTGAAAAAAGTGATGGTTGCAGCATCCCCACTGTCATGAGAGGCCAGGTGAGGAGAAGCGCCCCTTGATGTGAATGATGATGAGTTGGCCATGCCCACCCAGTCACATGACCACCAAGCCACGCCTGCCAACTAATCCATGCCCAAAGAACCGGTTGTTAAAAAAATTGAATCCCACCCCTGACAGTATGTTAACCAAACAGAGAAATATGGATAGGGTGTTGAGAGGTAAAACATCATAGAGAGGGAGGCAGTCACAAATTTAGACAAGATTGTGAAAGTTAAGGACATTATAAGACAATGAAAATCAGAATAGATAAGATAATAAGCACAACAAAGAATGTTTTTTCTGCGCCAACTCAGAAAGCTCAGACTACCCAAGGAGCTGCAGATACAGTTCTACAGAGGAATTATTGAGTCTGTCACCTGTACCTCTATAACTGTCTGGTTCTGCAACCAAACGAGACAAACACAGATTTCAATGGATAATTAGAACTGCAGAAAAAACAACTGATACCAATCTGCCTGAGGACCTGTATACTGCACAAGCCAGAAAGAGGGCTGTGAAAATATCTACGGATCCCTCACATCCTAGACATAAACAGTTTCAACTTCTACCCTCAAAACGACACTATAAGGCACTACACATCAGAACAACTAGACACAAGGACAGTTTTCCCCCATGACATCACTCTCCTAAACAAATAATTCCCACAACACTGTCAAACTATCTAAAAAGGCAGTATTACCATCATTCTCATCTTCCTTATTACCTATCTCCTTATGACTATAACTTTGTTGCTTGTATCTTATGATTTATCTTGTTTGCTTAGTATCTTAATATGATTTATGTTGATTGCTTATTTAGTATCCATGACTATCACTAAGTGTTGTATCTAATGTTTTATGATGAATGTACTGAATTTTATAATGACTATGTTAATGATATCACAATTACTGTACGTACATTGACAGCTTATGCATTGGAAACAAATTCCTTGTATGTTTAATCACACTTGGCCAAGTGTGATTAGATATTAGGTAAATATTGCCATGAATGCTGGATGAGGAGAAGAAAAAGGGGAAAAAAAGAAATCTCTTATAAACTATGACCCACAGTAGTGCAGTGCTTTGTCAGCATTTGACAGAAAGAGCTTCATAATTGGTTGTAAGCCACCTAGTTTAGCTGGGGTGGTGCAGTAGTTAGAATGCAGTACCGCAGGCTGCTTTTGCTGACCGCCAGCTGCCTACAATTTGGCAGTTAGAATCTCACCAGGCTCAAGGTTGATTCAGCATTCTATCCTTTCAAGGTGGGTAAAATGAGGACTCAAGATTATTTGGGGCAATTTTCTGACTCTGTAAACCACTTAGAGAGGACTGTAAAGTGGTATATAAGTCTAAGTGCTATTGTTATTATACAGACCAAGAAACTTAAAACATCTGGTGTAAGGCTGCAGTATAATACAAAATCTTACAAAAGTAAAGGATTTTACAACCGAAAAGAAGTAAACTGTGTTATCATTGCTCTTTTCACATCAACTGACCCAAAATTAGAGACAATAATAAAACTGCTCCACAACTCACCCAACCTTGGGGTACAATGGGCAGTCTATAAAGGTTATATATAAACCTACTAAAATACAAAAATCAAAATACAATAAAATTCTAAAATGAAGTAACCTATGCTTCACTACACAGTTTTAAATGCAAATAGATTAAAAGGATTCTGATGGGATCCCCAAACTCAAGACTCTGCCAGATGCAACAAAATGAAAGTATAATCTACTGTATTGAAGGATGTCTTATAATATTTTATTTCTGTTTTTGTAGGCTTTAGTCAACTTGTTTTTTGTGCTTTTGCTACTATAGAAGATTGGGTTTATGTGAGTTGATCCTTCAGTGAAGCCTGTGGTTTGCTATTGGTTTGTCTGCTAATGAGAATGTTGAGGAAAGGAGATTTTTGGTTCTCTTGTTTTCTGAACTTGATTGTATGAATTGTGCTGTTTATTAGACATTATGTGTATTCTAATTGTTTATTTTTATTTTGGTTAATTTATGATCTACATAGCATATCTACATTTTGAATTAACAGAGGGATGGGTCATGGGTAGTGACAATGTGACTGTGTCAAGGAGCTATTAATTTCTCCTTCAAGTCACTGTGATGCTGGAGAAATCAGGAATAAACTATTGCTTGACTGTAAGAATTATAGAAACAGAGGGCTGGAAGAGACTTGGGAGGCCTTCTAGTCCAATGCCCCTGCTCAAGGCAGGTGACCTTATACAGGTAGTCCTCAACTTACTACCACAATTAAGCCCCAAAGTTCTGTTGCTAAGCAAGACAGTTAAGTGAGTTATTTTTATTACTTTTTGCCACAATTGTTAAATGAATTACTGAAGTTGTCAAGTTAGTAACACAGTTATTAAGTGAATCTGGCTTCCCCATTGACTTTACTTGTCAGAAGATTGCAAAATGTAATCACACGATCCTGGAACACTGGAATCATCATAAATAATGTCAGTTGTCAAGTATCCAAATGTTGATCACCTGACCATGGCGATGCTGTACTGGTCATAAGTGTGAAAAACGGTCATATGTCACTTTTTTCAGTACTGTTATAACGTTGAATAGTCACTAAATGAATGGTAGTAAGCTAGGGAACTACCGTATCATCCAAACCAAATAGTTGCCCAGTCTCCAGCAATGGTCTCCAGCAAAACCTCCAGCAATGGAACCCCTACAACTCTGGGAGGCAAACTGTTCCATTGATTAACTGTTCTGTCAGGCAATTTCTCCTTGGTTCTAGGCTGGCGCTTTCTTGAACAAGCTCCCACCTATTACTTCTTGTCCTGCCCACAGGTGCTTTGGAAAATAAGATGACAGCTCCTCAAGTACTGGAAAACAGCTATCACGTTATCCCTAATTCTTCTCTTTGGTAGGTTAGACATACCTAATTAATTTCCTGTTCACAAATCCATCTCTTGATTATTTTTTCAGGATTTTCCCAGGTATTGATATGAAGCTGATCTGCCTATAGTTTTTTGATCTATGTTTTCCCCCTTTTTGCAGATTGGAACCACATCAGCTCTTTTTCAGTCTTCTGATAGTTCCTCTGTGCTACAGAAGTTCTGAAAGATTTCATTCAGTGGTTCCAAGATCACATCTGCCAGCTCCTTCAGAATCCTGGGATAGAAGCCATATGGTCCAGGTGATTTGTACTCATTCATGGTGGATAATATTCTCTTAACTAATTCCTTGCCTATTTTGACTTGCATACCTGTTCTGTCTCCATTGGTGCCCTGTAAGAAGTTGGGCTATTTCTTCCTTTTGCATAAGGATAGAAAGCAAAGAAGGTGCAAAATCATTTTTGAGGGCTCTGAGTATTTTTGTTCCCTTCACATCATTGCATTCTACATACACAGTGAAAAAAATTAAGCATCTTTTAAAATAACTTTACCTTTTACACATGTATTACAGTGCCAACTAATAATACTAATACATACTTAGCATTTCTGTAGTATGTTCAAATATTCAAAGCACTGAATATATTGATCAGATTATATTTTTACAGTGGTAATGGAGTAGAAATAAAGAACTTGTAGTCCTTCCAATTTTGCTTAAAGTAAGCAACAACCCCAGCCAGCTTGGCCATTCTCAAAAGAATGCTGGAACCTGTTTAACAAAAATCACAGAGCTACAAATTCCCCATGTGATACAAAGTAAATCAGTTTTATGTCTATGGAGGTTCTCAAATATCCAGGTCATGGTTTTCCCAAAAGTGCTTTTTCCAAAAAGCAATTGGACTTTCTTGGGTTTATTTTCTTTGAAACATTACACTTCTCATTCAAGAAGCTTCTTCATTTCTAACTGACTGGTGGGGAATATTTATATAAATCTTTCAATTTCTCACCATTCAGTTAGAACTAAAGAAGTTTTTTGCATGAAAAACTTGTTCTTAAAGAAAAAAGAAAGTCTAGTTGCCTATTGGAAAAAACACCTTTGGGATAAATCAGTTTTACTATCTCAAGATTGCAAGTAAGAAGACTGACCCATTAAGGAATAGCAGAGATGAATTCTGAACCAGGAAGATAAGAGTGCTGTTCAATCTATTAGTTAGTACATAACAATAACTCTCTCAAAAAGTATATGGTTTCCACTGGCCCAAGTAAAAGAACTAAAAATGGACAAGTAGAAAAAGTAGCCCTGCCGGTACCAAGAAAATTTGAGAACCAAGTGTTTGAGAAGAAAAATCTTCAATCTATTATCAGACAATATCGTGACTGAGACCAAACATACAAAATGGGCTGTCAGGTAGAAGATGGGACAGAATTGTTCCGAGTTTTCCAAAAGGCAAGAAATGAAACAGTAGTATAAATTACAATAAAGTAGATTGTGGCCGATATAAAAAAAAAAAAAAGAAGAAGCTAGGGTTGTTCAAGAATGGAAGAGACAACCTATGGAAGCAATGTCATTCTTTCATTAGAAGAGGCTACAGAAAGGAATGCCTGCACTTAACAGGTGACCTTAGATCTCGATGTTCACTTCTAACCCAAAGCTGGGAGCAAGAGAGGAAAAATTGTTCAAGGCAACAAAATTTGCATTCAGAATCTCCGGACCTCCTCCAACATCTAGAGTTTTCATTTTTTAGACTACACTTTTCTGTTATATCTCGTTGAAAGGAAAAAATATCTATCTGAAACTTTTCGTGTAAATATTTGAACTGGCAAATAATAAAATGTAGTTTCCTATATTATTTCTTACTGTTCATTAGTAAAATATGTTGAACAATTTTAGCTTCATTTTTGTAACTAAGTAGAAAAAATATTGGAATGCACACTCACACACGCATGCATGCTATTTTGGGATCATGCACAATCAAAAATGAGTTTACACAAAAACCAAATTTCACACTTTAATGTTCTATTTGATAAAGATCTAGCAAAGTTTATTACTTCCCAAGATATTTTCACATACTTTGATAGCACAAAAGTAACATCCATTTATAGAGTACCTTATCTGTGTAAAGTAACTTACCCACTAGTTCCTGGTCTCTGAGCCTGAGAAAAACGCCAGTCTGTATTAGGTTGTGCTTGCTGGAAAAAAAAACATAAAGAGGAACATATTTCTATTTTTCAATTTAAGCACAACATCCTCATTATTACTATAGAATATTAAACATAAACTGTAACATATGGTTAGTTTATGCTTTGAAAGTTTGAATTATAAACAATTTGCACAAGTATACAATGACATTTTCAAGCTACTTCCAAACAGGAATGCATGATTAAATAGTCTGCTTAAAAATGCTAGTTTTTTTATTCAACAGCACTTCAGTATCACCACAATCTGAAATATTCTGTAATCTACTAGAAAAATCATTCAGAAAAGTATTCTATAAAAATACATAGATGAAATAAAAGATGAAACAAACCTGAAAAAGCATAATTGAATATCACCAATAATGATTAGTAGAGGACTGATTCTGAAAGAGAATTGTTTTACTACATTTTGTTCAATAGAATGTGGATGGGTACAGGAAAAAAGAGGGAGGGGAGAAACGGGGGGGGGGGAGATTCAATAGAAACCTGTTACATATAGATATAGATAGATTTACCAATTACAATTGGGACCCTCAGCTCAATCAGTAAGTGATATGGTTGTAAAGTGCACTTAACTAATGTTAGTTCATTCATTCTAGTGGCAGTCATTAAACAAATTACTGCAGGTTGTTAAGCACAATGCCATGTGATCATGACTTTTGACTTCCTACCAGCTTTCCCATTGACTTTGAAACTTGTCCGAAGCAAAGGTCCCAATCAATGTTGCAAATAACAATCACCAGACTGTGGGATACAGCCAGAGGTGGTATTCAGCCAGTTCTGACAGGTTCTGGAGAACCAGTAGCAGAAATTTTGAGTAGTTCAGAGAACCGGTAAATGTCACCTCTGGTTGGCCCCGCCCCCATCTATTCTCTGCCTCTCGAGTCCTCGCTGATCAACTGGGTCTTCTTTTGTTGCCCTGCACAGGAGAATGGAGCTGGAAAGCAGGTTAATGGGGTGGGGAGGGAATAGGGATTTTGCAGTATATCTTTCCCCTGGAGTTGGGTAGAAATGGAGATTTTACAGTATCCTTCCCCTGCCACACCCAAGCCATGCCCACCAAGCCACACCCACAGAATCGGTAGTAAAAAAATTTGAATACCACCACTGGATACAGCAACCATCATGTGTGCTAGTTGCCGGGTCCCTATGCTGTCATCACATGACCACAGGGATTCTATGACAGCCACAACTTCAAGGACTGGTTATAAGTCTCCTTTTTCAGCAACATTTTAATGTCAAATGGTTGCTGAAGGAGTAGTTGCTAAGTAGGGATTACTTGTAATAATACTTAACATACCCACCACATTATTAAAAGATATCCAGTAAGTAAATCCCCCCTGCTACTACAGCAATTAACATCATGTATATATTACTTCATATATGTAAAACTTCTTTTAAAGTTCTTTTTTAAAAGAAATGCCTGTATAGCACTATACAGCCAATACATAAAATAATAAAACAAAAAGGATTCCTGGATTCTGTTCAGGAAAATAAAGTTAATAGAATTTGCAATTCTTTCTTTGAGGCAACAGCATGTAACTGGTAGACCGAAACCAAACTTTGTAGATTCCAGTTCTATAGCACTGTAATTTGGCAGCAAGTAACAATGTGATGATTAGTGTGGGCTCATGGATGGTCATTTTAACAGTGAAAATGGTTACCTTCTGAAAAAGCAATAAAATAAGCAACGATCCTTCCCCAAGGATAAAACTGTTATCCCTGAATATGGGGTAAAGTCTCATAAAGCAGACTTAGAAGGCAATTTTAAAGACGTGAACTCCAAAGCAAAGGGAAGATATTTGCCCTGTCTTGAGCATTTGAGTCCAGGTTCCTGAATTTATTTGGATAAATAATTTTGTATGTTTGTATAGTAAGCATTAAAATTTTGTAACAAAGATGATTCTGAATACTGCTTAACCATCATACAGAGTTCTAGCAATGTGAGAAAGAAAGGAGAATTTTATGAAATCACCAAAACTTTAGAAATCACAACCCCTTGCTAAAAATGAAGCATCAAGCATATTTGCAAATCTCCAACTGGAAGCAAGGAAATAAACACCTATCCTATCAGGGAACCAATGATAGACTAGGAAAGGATCATTTAGGTCACTGCACTTCATTCAGTTCATAAATCCAAATTAAAGCCTCCTTGAGAGATGGCTGCCTAGCCTCTAATATTGAACTTGACTTCTGGTTAAGAAGTTTTTCTAATACTCAGCAGGAAACAGTGTTCCTGAAACTTCTGTTCTGCACTCACTCCCAAATTGGTTTTATAAAATGGTTTGCTTGGTTTAGTCTGAAATGAAGTTAAGGTAGTTAAATTTAGTTAACATTTAAATATGTCCAGAACTTTTCTCCCAACCACTTGCTGCACAAATAACTGATAACTGAAGGAACTTAGGGAATTTCATCTGCTAATTTTTATTCATCAATAAATGTGCTACCTGTTCCTTATCTAGTAACAGCACCAAGAACTTTCTATTAAAGGGCAAACAATTCATTGGATTATTTTAATACTTTTTTATTGTTAATTTTATTCAGCTTTTTGAATTTTCTAGATATGATTCCTGCATTTAAACTTACTTAGCTGCACTGAATGCAGGTAGTCCTTGATTTATGATATTTGTTTAGTGACCATTCAAAGTTAAAACAGCGCATGAAAAAATGATTTATGACTGGTCCTCATACTTATGACCATTGCAGCATCCCTGTTGTCACATGATCACAATTTGGGCACTTGGCAGCTGGCATGTACTTAATATGGTTGCAGCATCCCAGGATCAGGTGATTGCTACTTGCAACCTTCCCAGCCATCTTCCAACAACTAAAGTCAATGGAACAAGTTAGTTTCGCCTAATGATCCTCTGATTTGCTTTACAAATACTGTAAAAAGATAGTAAAGTTGGGTGTGATTCACTTAATTACCACATCCCTTAACAACAGGAGTTCCTGCCCCAAATTGAGTCATAAATCAAGGACTACCTGTAAAAGAATCAGAATAGCAGTTACCAAAACCAGGATCACTGACAAAACAAATTTCATTCTCTTTTAATACAGATGTTTCACTGAGGAGTAAAGACAGTTGTCAATGTGGAAACAAATGGCAACACGGGTTATTTATAACAAAGCAATCAAAATCATTTGCAAAAAACAGTACAAAACTATTCCCCATCCATGAAGGTCAAATAAAAGTTCATGGCAGAGTTTCTGTTAAATATAGACTGCAAATATATGTATATCCCTATAGATATATATTTATATAATGTTCCAGCATTGTCTTGGTGAATCTTACCGCATCAGAGGGGTTCTGCAAAGCACTGCCTGTGTGTTCAAAGGCAAGAATGCTTTCTGCTGTAGTGGAATGACTGAAAGGTTTAACAAAAAAGAAATCTCCCTGCTCAGACATAGGGGAGAAACAAGACTTGTAGTTCTGAGCTCCAGCTCCACTCACTTCAAGGTATCTTATAAAGCCTTCTGGATTTGGATACCCACTGATATTTATGGTAGACTTCCGATCTGTCCTCCTACTACACCAGAGTGATACGATCCAGTTTGGGATACAGAAGCCAGATTTGAAGCATCTGGCTCCGACAATAATCATCATTACACAAGACACTAGAGAGATAGCCACAAGAGAGATGATAAGATAAAGAGTTAAGTTCTGAGCCCTGGCAGGTGACTTGGGGAGAAGGTCCAATGACTTGGTAAAATCCTGTGCAGCATTATCCTCTGAGGAGATTATTAGAATCATTGATGCTGAAAGAGATGGCACCCCATTGTCCTTCACTTCTACCACCAACCGGTGAGAAACCCCAGGTTCCCTCAGTGTCCGAGTGACACGGATCTCTCCTGAGTGGTCTTCTACTTTGAAAGCATTCACCTCATTTGTCTCATGGAGTAAATGGTACGAAACCCATGCATTATGGCCACTGTCAGCATCGACAGCCACTACTTTAGTCACCAGATATCCAGGTTCTACTGGGATTAGAAGTGACTGATGAAAGGCAGAACCTTTGGGAACTTCTGGGTGTACAATTACAGGTGCATTATCATTTTGATCCACTATGAACAGATGAAGAATGCTTGTGCTGCTTAGCGGTGGGAAACCTGAATCTTTCACCTCTACTGAAACTTGAAAGACTTTTTCTTGCTCATAATCTAGAACCCTGGAAGTATAAATACTGCCATTCTCTTGATTGATGTGGAAATAGGTTGAGATGGGCAAGCCATGATTTCCGGTATCCACAATGGAATAAGATAGCTTGGAATTGACACCTACATCTGGATCACATGCTGACACAGAAAAGACTAGAGTTCCAGGAGATGTATTTTCCTCCACATGGGCTGTGTAGGAAGAGATGGAGAAAGTGGGTGCATTGTCATTTATATCTGAAACTTGAATTAATATATTTTTCTCAGTTGACTTTTGAGGTATTCCAGAATCTGTTGCTTTAATTGTGATACTGTATCCAGCAGTTTTCTCTCGATCAAGTGGGCCATTAGTCACTAGTGAATAATGTCCCTTAAATGAAGACACCAATTTAAATGGTACATGTCTTGGAATCTCTAAGCGGACCTGTCCATTTTCCTCAGAATCGTTATCCTTTGCTTGGATAAGTGCAATGACTGTTCCTATAGGTGCATCTTCTTGTACTGAGCTAGAAAGAGTGGTCATCATAATCTCTGGACTGTTGTCATTAACATCAACAAGTTCTACTCTAATATTGCAATGACCTTCCATAGCAGGGGATCCCTTGTCTTTAATGTAGATGGCTATTTCATATGCATTGGCTTCTTCATAATCCAGTAAAACTTTTGTCCTGATTTCCCCTGTTTGAGAATCCAGACTAAACACATCGAGAAGTTTTAGCTGCACACTGCTGCTGGATTTAAAGAAATATTCAACTTCTCCATTAGGTCCTTCGTCTAAGTCAGTAACATTGAGTTTTGTTACTATAGTCCCCACCTGGATATTTTCCTCCAAATAAACC